GCTAGAAATGGAATTATTCAGTGAAAGGATATGCCCATTTGAAAGAAACACTGTTGTTGGTATTGCCTTTCAGGAAGTTTGTATCAATTTATTCTCTCATGAGTCCTTTGAAAGTAGCCTCCTCTACTGAAAGTACTCTCCTTAGAAGTCAGTTTTTTCAAAAAAGCTTTGCTATTCTGTGGATTTTCTTCTTTTTCTAGCTTACTTGTATTGCAGTAATAATGATCATTTCAGGTGTACAGTATTTTAGTTATGTGTTATAAATGACTTTTGATGGTTAGCTTGGTAACTTAAATCATTACTTAATATTTTATGAGATACAGTAGTCTAAAAAGCAAATAAATCATTAGAGTCAATTTAGTTTCCCACTGATGTATGGCCATTTAATATCCTTCTAAAAATTCATCTCCTTCTAAAAATGAAAGTTGGAAGAGTTGATTGCTAGTCTTCTTGGAAGAGCTCTGGTAGCGTAATGCCTTAGGCACTTGACTGCTAACCAGAAGGCTGGCAATTCACACCCATCAGCCACTCCTCAGAGGGAAGGTTGGGCAGTAGAGATGCTGCCTTGGAAACCCAAGGAGGGGTCGCTATGAGTTCGGGTCCGACTCGATGGCACATAACAACAGTCTTCTTTGTAAACCATTATATTTGCTTGAAGCATGAACTGTTTAATTTAATGGGATTTCCTTATTTTAATTTAGCTTTGTTTTATTATTATTGTAGGGTTAGTGCACTGAAAGGCTCCAAAGGAAAAGATTGTGAAATTCCTGCACCTATAGGCATTTCAGTAACTGATGAAAATGGAAAAATTATAGGTGAGTGTACTCCAGCTTCTATGGTTGTGAAAAGCGTGCACATTTTTAAAAATTGCTTAGGGGATGGGGAAATAGTAGCTCTTGAGTTTCAAAAGAATTTTTAACAGTAATAGTTTCAGATGCTAATTCATAAAAAAGGAGCTTTCTTTCTTCCCTGCCCCCTCAATATTGACTGTTAGATTTAAAATTATTTTAAAGGTATAAACACATTTACTTGATTTTAAAATACATAACTAGTCTTTCTTCAACCCTTTACAAAAGTTTTACAGGACCAAACTTAATAGAAATTGAATCCTATTGGTTAATAGGTCTTCAGATTTGTAAATTGGAATTTCCTGGTACATGTTTCTGAAAGAAAAAAAAAATGTCTTATTAGTAATCTCCATTTAATAATCTTGCTATAAGTATCTTTCTCTCTTTTTAAGGAGAACTCAATAAAGAGAAGGACAGAATTTTGGTAGCTGAAGGAGGTCTTGGTGGCAAATTACTTACAAATTTCTTACCATTGAAAGGGCAGAAACGGATAATTCACCTTGATCTAAAACTTATAGCTGATGTAGGCCTCGTAGGGTAAGTATCGTTCATATTTTTTTTTATTATACTTTCAGAGAGACAGTTTATAAGTAGGAAATAAATATAAAATGATAATTTGGGGCCAGAAATATTTCTAGTTTATGGAATTTGTGCATTGCTTGTGTACTTGGAGAACACTGCTTAATATAGTTATTTTCATAATGTCAATGTAGAGTTTTCATAGTTCATTTGTAAAAGGAGTATCATAGCAATTGAGAGTAGGTCAGTGGGAATGTTACAGAACGAATGAAAAAGAAAAAAATCGATAAAATGCAGTATTGTAAGACAATAAAGGAATGTTGTAAGATATTAAAGAAAGGATTATAAATTCAAACAAAGCACATTTTAAAAAGTATGCAGAAAGAAGTAAAAAGAAGCTTAAAAAAATGGTGGTGGTATTCTTATAAGTCTTAATGGAGGTATTGCGGTATCAGATGGTAACTTTAATCAGATGATTAATTAAAGAGCAGTACAATCTGTAGGTTGAATCTTGCTGTTACTTTTTTCCTGTCTTTTTGCCTCTGCCTAAGATCTGTTTATCCTCAGTACTACATACCTTACACTGTTGGCTTTTTCTGCTAGCTTCCATTCTTTCATCAAACAATGCTATTTAGCTGTAAGGTTTGCAGCAGTGGTACCAGACTAGAGGAGGACTGATAGAAAATAAAGCAGAGAAACTTCAGCTTTGCATTTCTTTTAGGCTCTCTCTCTTCCTAAACCAACCAACCAACCAACTCCCCTCCCCCCAAAAAACAAGATACCAAGCCTGTTGCCATCAAGTTGATTACAGTTCATGATGAAAAACTGCTCCATCGGGTTTTCTTGGTTGTAATCTTCGCCAAGCAGTTTGCCAGGGCTCCTGTGGCACTACTGGGTGGGTTTAACTGCCAGCCTTTAAGTTAGTAGCCAAGTGCAAGCCATTCATGCCGCCCAGGGGCTTTTCTCCGTACCCTCACTACAGTTTATGTAGTAATCAAATAGAAGGCCTAAGGAAAAGATATGGCAATCTGTCTGGTTGATCCTCTGTTCAAATGACCAGTTCCATTCCCTGCGTTCCATAGCTGCTTTCTAAGCTCTTTCCATCCTCTTTTCAGCTGTCTGCTTGCTTCTTTACAGAAAACCTGTCTGAATCCCTTGGCCTTCCTGTCTAGCCCCTGGGTCTTACCACCAGTGGCTTAGAGGTCACAGAGTCCTCACTCCTGTTTGTAGCAGGGAAAGTTGTGATCCTAACATTCCAACTTGCCATTCTGATTTAATTTTTTCAATAAAACATTTAGGATGGCTATGAAGCGTACCCGTTGCAGTCAGTTGATTCCTATTCATTGCAGCTCTATAGGATAAAACAGAACTACTCCATAGAGTTTCCAAGGCTATAAATCTTTATGGAAGCAGACTGCCAAATCTTTCTCCCATGGAACAGCTCATGGGTTCAAACCACAAATTTTCCATTTAGGAACTTAACCACTGTACCACCGGGGCTCCCTTATGAAGCATAAATTCTTTAATAACATACATTCTGCAAAAACATTAAAGACTTAATAGGGCCTTATGGGAAAACTGGGAATCCAGCCATTAACAGTCTTATTTTAGCAGAAAACTGTCTTGAGTTCCAAAGACATACCTTTATAGACTTTTTTTAAAATTGTTACAGTGTAAGAAAAGCCTAGAAAAACTGAGTAGTAAAAGTTAGGGATGACATGGAAGTTAGATTCTGGGTTGGTATCAAAGTCTTTGGGAGTTGGCTGGCTGGTGTTAAGTTATGCAACCATTCAGGGCCTTTGTTTTTATCTTCTTTAATGGGGAATGGGGATAATTCTCATCATAAAATGTTAGGTAAAATAATGCATTTATAGCATAACGTGTTTGTCATTTATGAATGTTCAGTGAATAATGTCTGCAGCTGCTATCATCAGCATTCGTATTTTGCCAGCTTATTGGAGACTACGTGTAGTGAGTTCATTTTGCATCTACTGTATTCGAACATACAAAGTTGGTGCAGGACTGTGCAACATTTCATTTTGTTATACTTAAGTTTGCCATGCTTAAGAGCTGACTTGCAACCAGCAACACCACAAAGCAAAATATTGGACTTCCAGAAATGGGTTTGAAATTAAAAACAGTAACATCAAAAATATTAGCAGAATGTCTAATATTTATTCTAAACCAAAAATAAAACCTACTGCATCGAGCCAATTCTAATTTAAAACCACCCCCATTGGGTTTCCAAGGCTATAAATCTTTACAGTAGTAGATTGCCTCATCTTTCTCCAGCAGAGCAGCCAGTGGGTTTGAATCACTGACCTGGTTAGTAGCCAAATGTCTTACTCACTGTGCCTCTGGAACTCCTTAATATTTATTCTAGTACTTTTAAATTAGGCAACTATTCTTGGAAATTTACCAATGTGAATACTGGCATAAACAGATATCCTTTAGCTGGTTTCAGGAATGATCTGAACCATAGAAGAAAAGTGTTGCATACTAGTATACTTGTACTACTATTGTCAGACCTGATTTCTGCATAGATTCAATTTTAGCCTCCAAAATTTTCATTAGATACTTTTCAAAGGAAAATCTAAAATGTTGATTCTTCAGTAGAGTAAACCACTGGTATGTCTACTTTCTACTAGTACTTTGATCTTTGCAAATATTATGCTTGAGGTTTTTTGTACAGAATCGCTATTAAGAAATTAAGAGGATATTGAAAAGAAACAAACAAGTCTAGCTAGTGACACGGACAAAAATGGTTATAATTTGCTTTTCACAAAATTTCCAAGAGCCTGAGTATAACAGGATCTAAGACTAGTTTTGTATGCTCCAGAATCATTAAGAAATCTTACTGAATTTTGAGGAAGACAGAGAGAGGTGCATGGGAGGTACAGACAACAAAGATGAACCCTTTTGCACATATAGTACTGTGTTGTCAGTGATGGCAAACATTGACATATGGGTGGATAGATGGGTGGACAGGCTGAACGATTAGGTATGTCTATGCAGGAGAGAGCGTGCCCATGACCATGTATAGGGTTGGCAGACAGTGTTTCTACAAGTGTATTTTTATGTTGTATAAGAATTTCTAGGTACATAGTAGAGCTAAAAAGGGACAAGGTTGTAGTCACTTTTTGACCACAGCCAGCTACCCGGAGGGAGCGATTAGTTAGACCTGTGGGCTTGGGACCATGGTTGCAGGGGGCATCAAGCTCATTGGCATAACATACTACACAAAAACATTGTTTCATATCCTACTTTGATGAGTAGTGACTGGGATCTTAAAAGCTTGCAAGTGGCCATCTAGATGCAACGATGGGTCTCTCATCGTCTAGAGCAAAGAAGAGTGAAGAAAACCAAAGACCCATGGAAACAATTAGTCCAAGACACTGGTACACCATGCGATCCTCAGGCTATATGACTGTGAGACCAGAAAAACTAGGTGGTGCCCAGCTACCACTGTCAGCCACTCAGAGGGAAATCTATGTAGGAGATCCTGGATAGAGTGGGAGAACAATGTGGAACAAAACTTAACATCATTAAGAAAGAGGGGGGTGCAGGTTTGCTGGTCTGACAGAGCCTCTTGGAACCCCTGAAACTATGGTCCCTAGCTCCCCCTTCAGGTCTGGAATTGAACCCACACCTGTGGTTTCCAGCCAAACAAAAGACAGGCTTATGAGCTGAACATTTACATTAGGTAGATAGACTCCTTGGAGAGATCAGTCATGGGAAAATCAAAGGGCTGTGTATGCACAGGGAGACAGCTTGGGTGGGCAGGAGTGCGTGGGAGGGAACGACACAGGGAAGAGATTAAATATGGGGAGGAAGTGGGAGCTGTTGCATTGTGGGAAATTACAGTCAATGTTATGAGTCAAAGTATATGTGAACTGCTGTATGGAGAATGAATTTGCTCTGTGAACTGTCACCCATATCACAATAAAAATTAAAAAAATCTTCCTGAATTTTATTTTAAATTGTGGGGTATTTTTGTTTTTCAAATAGGAAATTTATTAAAAGAGTTCCACTATGGAGCTTATAAAATTTTACAGAAATCCAAATGAATATTTGCAAAACATTATATAATTATACTAAATGAAAATTTGGCAGAGATTTTGAAAGTGCTTTTTCAAGTTTGAATGAAAACTCAGTGAAGGCAGGGATCATATGTGTCTCATTGAATGCTGTGTATGTTGTATCTGGAGCTCTGGTAGTGTAGTGCCTAAGGCGCTTGACTGCTAATCAGAAGGCTGGCAGTTCAAACCTGCCAGCCACTCCTCAGAAGGAAGGTTGGGCAATCTGCTTCCGTAGTGATACTGCTTCAGAAACCCAAGGAGGGGTCGCTAGGAGTCGGGTCCAGCTCGACGGCATATAACAACAACAACATATCTCGTATCTAGTACATTGCCTGACATAAAGTCAGTGCTTAATAAATTTTTGTTGGATGAATTTAAGGAAAATACCTGAATGAGATTTATGAAATCATCTTCAAGTGACCTCTGAGTCTTAGTACTTTCCATACATGATAGGCCTTTCTTTAGGGAAATTTAGCAATAAAATCAAAAAGCTTTAAAATGAACTTATGTTTTAGTCCAATATTTCTTAATCTAGAAATTTATCCCAAGAAGACAATAAAAATAGGTGCTGAGGTTCAAGGATAGTCATTATACTGTTTTAAGTTTTTAGAAAAGCTAAAAATATATATTCATTTACATAAAGATAAACATCTCACTGCCGTTGAGTCGAATCCGACTCATAGCGACCTCTCCTTGGGTTTCTGAGGCGGTGTCTCTATGGAAATAGATTGTCCAGTCTTCCTTCCAAGGAGTGGCTGGTGGGTTTGAACTGCTGGCCATCTGGTTAGCAGTCAAATGCCTTAGGCACTACGCCACCAGAGCTCCCAAAGATAACCTTCTGTCACTCAGAGGTGACTGTTAATATCAATGTATGTCTTTCTGGCTGTATACAGATTTTTTTGCAGTGTTATTTATAATAGTGAAAAATTAGAGACACTTAAATGTCTTAAAACAATAGGAAATTAGTTAAATTATGGCTCACCCTTAAAAGATGTTTACTTTGTATTATTCAGTTTAGAAAGGACAACTAACTTATGTAATAGTCTTTAAAAAAAAATCAAATTTGAATCTGATCAAGTCTTTATGTCCAACAACCAATTTATAGAAAATGCAAAGGCAAAGGATTATATCAAATGACACCATAGGAGTGTCAAGGAGCAAGATCTAGAGTGGGAGAGAAACTACAGATGACCTGGTTTCTTAAAAAAAAAAAAAAAACTGAACAATGAGGAAACGAAGTGATGGGGAGCCTATATCAAAAGAGACATAGCAAATGATTATATGTAGACCTATTGGGTTACTATTCAGACAAACAACTTAAAAAAAATAAATAAAAGCAGGTATTGGATGTATATTGATAATTGCTGAAGCTAGTTAGTTGATCTTTAAGTGGGATTCATTTTTCTTCTCTACTTTTGTATGTTTTTGACACTGTCCATATAATTTTTTTTTAAAGACAGTCCCTGTTATGTCAGTGTTTAGCCAGAGATGATGAGATTGCAAGTAGTTTTTTATTAGTTTTTTTTTTATGATTCCAAGTTTGTTTGTTCCCATAGTTAGACTAACAATTACTTTGTTGTTGAGTTGGCTGTAACTCATCGTGACCTTATGTATAACAGAACAAATATAGCCCAATTCTGTGCCATTCTCAACAGTTGTTGGTGTATTTGAGTCCTTTTGGTATGTTGTAGCCATTGTGTCAGTCTATTTCATGGAGGGTTTCCATAAGAAATTACTTTACTGATTAACATGGTGGCATTAAGGAAGAGGAAGACAGAGAGAGGTACATGGGAGGTGTAGACAACAAAGATGAATCCTTTTGCACATACAGTACTTCGTTGTCAGTGAAGGCAAACACGGGTATACAGGTGGATAGATGGGTGGACAGGCAGAACTATTAGGTATGTCTATGCAGCAGGGAGTATACCCAAGACCATGTATAGGGTTGGCAGACAATGGTTCTACAAGTGTATTTGTATGTTCTGTAAGAATTCGTAGGGGTATATTAGAACTAACAAGGGATAAGGTTGTAGTCACTTCTTGGTCACAGCCAGCTACCCAGAGGGAGCGAGTAGTTGAACCTGTGGGCTTGGGACCATAGTCGCAGGGGACATCAAGCTCAGTTGGCATAACATACTACACAAAACATTGTTCCACCTCCTACTTTGGCGAGTAGCAACTGGGATCTTAAAAGCTTGTAAACAGCCATCTAGATGCAACAGTGGGTCTCTCCTCATCCAGAGCAAAAAAGAATGAAGAAAACCAAAGATTCATGGAAGCAATTAGTCCTTGTGACTGGTACACCATGCGATCCTCAGCCTTTATGACTATGAGACCAGAAGAACTAGATGGTGCCTGGTTACCACTGTCAGCCACTTGGAGGGGGGATCTATGTAGGAGATCCTGGATAGAGAGGGAGAACAATGTGGAACAAAACTCAGAATCATTTGGGGGAAAAGAAAGGAGGGGGGACCAGGTTTGCTGGTCTGATAGAGCCTGGTGGAACCACTGAGACTATGGTCCCCAGCTGCCCTTCAGGTCTGGAACTGAACCCACACCTGTGGCTTCCAGCCAAACAAAAGACAGGCATATGAGTTGAACATATACCTGAGGTAGATACACTCCTTGGAGAGAACAATCATGGGAGAAAAAAGGGCTGTTTATGCACAGGGAGACAGCTCAGGGGACAGGAATGCATGGAGTGATGGACACAGGGAAGAGGTAACTATTGGCAGGAAGTGGGAAGGGAGCTAGTGTTGCATTGGGGTAAATTGTAGTCAGGGTCTTGAGACAATGTGTGTGTGAACTACTGAATGGAGAGTGAATTTGCTCTGTAAACTTTCACCCGAATCACAGTTAAAAAAAAAAAATTGAGAAAGAAATTACTTTACTTCCCCATTACTGAAAACATACTATATTTCTGGCATGAATGCATCTTTACCTTTTTTATAAGTGTATTTTGTTCCTCAAGTTTTTCAAGATAATTTTTAATCTATATTAGATTTTTAATCCTAGAAATATTCAAGAGGTCTACTTCTTGAATTGTTAGAATTTTAGAGATGAGCAAGTGTTGATACTTGTAATTTATATTTTTATTTTCTCATTTCAGATTTCCAAATGCTGGAAAATCTTCTTTGCTAAGTCAGGTTTCTCATGCAAAACCTGTGATTGCAGATTATGCATGTAAGTGTAATTTGATTGTGTATTTTAATGTGTATAGGTAAACTTTTAAACACTTGTTATTATTGTTGTTATGTGCCATCGAGTCGGACCTGACTCATAGCGACCCTTCCTTGGGTTTCCGAAGTGGTATCACTACAGAAGTAGATTGCCCAACTGTACTTAAGGATAAAATAACAACCCAAGAGCAAGTCTTAGTTTGAAAACTCTTTGCAGGTAGGATACCATTCATTTCACATTTTTTTAAACACATTTTATTGAAATATAATTTATATACAGTGAAATACACAAAACTAAAGTGACATGGGTCAGTGCTTTTTTTTTTGCCATTGTTCCCTCCCCTCCCCGTCCACCCCTGGTAACCAACAATGAGTTTCCTTCTATATATAAACCTTTCCTTGACTTTTTACAATAATGAACTAATATTGTATTTGTCCTTCTGAGATTGACTTACTACACTTAGCATAATGTCCTCCAAGTTCATCCACGTTATGTGGTGTTTTGTAGATTCTACGTTATTCTTTAGTGTTGCGCAGTATTCCATTGTGTGTGTGTACCATAGTTTGGTTATCCATTCTTCTGTTGATGGGCACGTTTCTGTCCTTTGGTATGTAAATAGTGCTGCAATGAACATGGGTGTGCATATATCTATTCTTGTCCTGGCTCTCACTTTTTTAAGGTATATACCTGGTAATGGGATTGCTGGGTCACATGGTATCTCCAGTTCCTGCTTTCTAAGGAATCGCCATACTTTCCACAGTGGTTGTATCAGTTCACAGTCCCACCACCAAGGCTGTAAATCTTCACGGAAGCAGATTGCCTCATCTTCCTCTCTAGGGCAGCTGGTGGGTTTGAACTTCTGACCTGTGGTTAGCAGCCAAATGCCTCACCCACTATGCCATCAGAGCTCCTTAAGTAACACTAAATAAGGACCATATGCACCTGTTCCAACTGACCTACAAATAATTCTTAAAGACATAGGAACTGATCTCGTTTGTAACCTGGGGACTGCCTGTATGAGTGAAAGAGAATGGAGGTGAGGGGCCTTCCAGCCAGAATAAATAGTATTTACACAAGGACTCTGTGCAGGAAGTAAATTTGTATTTAACATGAAGCAAGCAAAAGAATGAGTCAACATAAGGACTGGAAATGTAACTAAAGATCATATCATATAGGCCATGTATTCTGTATTTGCTCATTATATCCTCAAAACAGTTGGAGGATGTTTATGCAAGGCATAAATTAATAGATTTGCTTTTCAAAAAGATGTCTGCCTATAATGTGGAAATGGATTGGAATGGGACCTAAGTGCATCTGGGAAGGCCAGTTAGTAGGCTACTGCAGTAGCTCATTGGGATATAGTAGAAGCTTCGACTTAGAGAAGTGAATGAATAATATGATATCTATTTTGGTTACCTAGTGCCACTCTGACAGGAGTGTACCACAGATGGGATTACTTGAAGATACAAGAGTTTTTTCTCTTCCAGTTTGGAGGCTTTAAGTCCTAGTTCAAAGTGCCAGGCTCTAGGGGCTGGGTGAAAGCACCTCACCCTTGGGCGTCAGCTCTGCCTCCTGCTCCCGGCCCACTAAAGCTGGAGGCTTTTCCTCACTCAGCTGCTGGCTGCTGAGGCTAACAAGCCCAAGGTTGACAAGTAACAAGGCACAGTCCGCATGTTACCAAACCACATGGCAGGCCATTAATTTAAGAACATTGAACTTCCCAAGGTTGGCAGAGCATAGCAGGCTGCTGAACAGTGACATGACTACATGCAGGGTTCAAGCGTGCCATAAGCTAGAGACCGTTTCCCAAGGCTGCTTCTTATATTCAGGAAGCAAACCACATCCGTAAGGCAGCTACTCAACTGCTTACAGTAGATTCCACCATGGAGTTGATTACCAGTCTCATCATGGGGAATAGTACATCCAGCTGCCCAGCCACTCAACCAGGCCCAGCCAAGTTGACACACAAACTTAACTACCACAGTATCTCTGCCAAAAATAAATAAAAGACAGAATGATTTAACCTGGAAAATGAAAACAAGCCATTCTAAAATTAGAATCTGATGGAGTAGAGTTGATTTTGGATTTTCATGGTCAGTATTTATTATATTACAGGGAACTCTTGAGAAGGAAAGAGAAGGAAAAGCAAAAAAGTAATGAGAACGAGACTTTCAGGACTAGTGAGGCTTAAAGATGACTGAATGAGAAAGAACTAGAAAAGTCCCATCAACAGACATAAATTTAAATTCTGCACCTTCCCCCCACTTTAGAACTTAAAAAGAAAAAAAATTTCTGACTCACTGTTCTTCACCATCCTTACTGTGCTCATTAAAGTCCTATAAAGGAAATTTGAGGCTCACTAACTAGGGTAGTGGAGCTCTGGTAGCATAGTGGTTAAGATACTTGCCTGCTAACCAGACGGCTGGCAGTTCAAACCCACCATACACTCCTCGGAAGGAAGGTTGGGCAATCCTACTTCCGTAGTGATACTGCCTCGGAAACCCAAGGAGGGGTCACTATGAGTCAGGTTTGACTTGACGGCACATAACAACAACAACAACTAGGGTAGACCTTTGTTTTGCAGATTATTAAAATCTCTATTTGCCCTTTCCCAAGTACATCATAAATAGCAAGAATAATTACATCTTCCATTTCAAAAGTTTATGAAATTCTAATGAGAATTATGTTATTGATAAATGTTAAACTAATCCCCAAAATTCCTAAAAGAACGTATTCTGAATTAAACTGTTCACAGAAAAAGAAATAATTATTTAGTCTATGTATAATTCTAATTTCTGAGTACCATCTTTTATTCCAGCCATAATTTGTTGTTATTATTGTTTTAGTTACAACAGTAAAGCCTGAACTTGGAAAGATTATGTACAGTGATTTCAAACAGGTGGGTATTTTTAAAGTAAGGCATTTGGTTAGAAGTACAAGTACCTGCTTTTGGTTCTTTTTGTTAGTTGCCATCGTGTTGATTGCGACTCATGGGACCCCATGTGTGCAAAGTAGAACTGCTTCAGAGGGTTTTCAAGGCTGTGACCTTTCAGGGTCATACCACCAGGCCTTCTTCTGAGGTGCCTTTGGGTGAGTTTGAACGGCCAGCCTTTTGGCTGATACACGAGCACATAGCATTTGTATCATCCAGGGACTCCTTGCTTTTCTTTCCTTGTATTTTATAAAATTTGTCTCTTTCTCTGGTTTTGGTGGGGAGAGAGGTAGGAAGTTTTTGCTTTATGATAAGTAATACCATAGTGAAATTAATTCTGCTGAACATATGGCAGTAAAATATTGTATAAGAATTTAACTTCTTGTGCTTTTAAAAATTAGGCCTAGTTAGTTAGTTGCTACAATACTGTATCTTCTTAACTTCTTTAATCTATTTCTTCTTATTGCAAGTCCCTATTTTATTGCTGTATTTGATTATTGATTTCCATTTCCTAAAAACGTTTACTAAAATCCAAAAAAGTAATTCTTTGGGCAAAAAAAAAAAAAATAACCTATTAAAATTTATTTTCTTTGTTAAGAAATAATTTATAGATTATCTGTATAATTAGAGTGAATAAAAACTAAAATTAAAAAAGTAAAAATTTGATATGTATAAATTATAAGTAAATGCTTATTCTTACCATAAAAGCTTGAACAAGTGTGTTAAATCTTTAAGTAGCCAAGTGAAATGAGTAAACAATTACTTAGAAGGAATTAAAGTAGTAAATGATCAGTTTGGGAAAATTGTCCAGCACCTTGAATTATTAAGAAACATAATTAAAATAACTAGTTTATAACTATTAAATGTAGCCATTATTATCAGGACTATGAAGAAACAGGTGTTGCTAATCATACATTAGGAGCTCTGGTAGTGTAGTGCCTAAGGCACTTGACTGCTAACCAAAAGGCTGGTGGTTCAAACCCACCACCAGCCACTCCTTGGAAGGAAGGTTGGGCAATCTACTTCTGTAGTGATACTGCCTGGGAAACCCAAGGAGAGGTCTCTGTGAGTTGGATCTGACTCCATGGATGTGAGTTTGGTTTTTGGTTTGATTCATTTATAATAGTGATACAACCGTAAAAAACAGGAAAACTTAAAAACTGTAAAATATTGCAAAGTAAGTGTATACATACAAGATGATATTAATATAGAGAATAATACTTAGAAGAAAAGAAAACACTGTTTATATCTAATTTTTAGTCAGATCAATAGAGAACCTGAAGAAGTGTTTCAGGGTGTGAGATCTCTGTTGTGCACAGTGCATTTGTACACAGTACATTGTCTTATAGCCACAACTTCCTTTGAGACTGAATTCATTGTTCACATGGAACATGCAGGTAGAGCAGGGGTCTCATCTCTTACTGCATATCGTTTTGCACATAGTATATAATCCTGTGAAATAATTAAAAAGAAATAATATATATCTATTTTTAGTAATATAACAAAAATCACAACCATTTATAAATAAATAAATAATGCTTAGAGCCTAGTTGAAACCAAATTTCAATGGTGTAGGTAATTTTTTATCAGTTTCCTAAGTGATTGTGATGCACAGTGGGGTATGAAAACCACAAGTGTAGAATAATAACTTACCACAAGAAAAGTGGAAAGATAACTATATTCTTTTAATTTATAAGAATGGTCAGTAATCCTCCTAGTATAATATGGACAGAGAGAAGAACAATGGTCTCTAATAAAAAATTATAAATAAAATTTAAAACTTACAAGTATAGAGCTACATTTAGTTAATGTGTATTTTAAAATCTTTGTAAAATTTTAAGGCATTCTGATGGTGCAATGGTTAAATGTTTAAGAATTTAGCTTGTAGACATTGAAATCTATGAAAAATTCTGATTGAACAATATAATATATGGAATTTTATTGAAAATTATCTGATAGAGGAATGTTCAACTAATCCATAAAATCCCTACATTGTTTGATTAGTAAGTAAAAATAGGACTCTCATTACTGATAACAAAGGATTTTGGTTCTTAATGTATCTATTTTGCCATAAAGGAAGCTTGGCTTTTTCAAAGATGAAGTGGTAAGCACAAATTAGGAACTGTTTATATTTGAAATATCATGAAAATTTTAGATATGATCATACTTGTGTTTTTTAACTTTTTCTTTTTCATCAAATCATTTTAACTTTGTGTTAGATATCTGTAGCTGATCTTCCAGGCTTGATAGAAGGAGCACATATGAACAAAGGAATGGGCCACAAATTCCTGAAGCATATAGAAAGAACTAAACAGCTACTTTTTGTTGTAAGTCATATGCATACCAGTTTAATGTTCAAATGAATGTGAAAGTCAGTGAATTCAATTGCCTTCGAAAATTTTTGTAGTGATAAAATTTAAAGGTAAAGTAGCATATGTTATTCTGATAAGTCAATTTGGATGGAGGTCTTACAGAGTGATTTTAGTTTGCACTATGGGAATGACATGTCATTGTTGAAGTTTACGTCATCAGATATAACTTTGACTGTAATTGCCAAGATTTTTTTTCTGAAATTGTGCTTTAGGTGCAGATTTACAGAGCACAGTTTGTTTTACATTCCACATTTTGTGTATGTTTGGTTTCGCTACCCAATTACCATCCCCAACCCTAACCCAGTCCCCCCACCCCCCGCCCATGCCCCTGATAGTTATGCACTCCTGTGTGTCCTATGTTTCCTCCGTGTGAATGTTGCCTCCCTGGTATCCCGTGGTTGACTGCTCCGAGGGATGCATCTCCGTAGAGTATGTGGGTGCGTCAGCCTGGGTTGAGCGGTCTGCATGTATGTCTTATTTACTACTGGGCTGAGAGCCAGTGCCTGGGAGTGAGTTTTATTCCAGGCCTGAAGTGTATCCCTAGGCCATAGTTTGGTGGTCCCACCAGACTCATACTCCATCTGACCAGTAATTCTGGTCATTATTGTGGTTTTGGATTTTGTTCTATGTTTTTCCTGATTTTTAATGTACTGTATTACAAAGTGGGAGCTCTGATAGCTTAGTGCTTAAGGCACTTGACTGCTAACCAGAAAGCTGGCGGTTCAAACCCACCAGCCACTCCTCTGAAGGAAGATGGGGCAATCTACTTCCGTAGTGATACTGCCTTGGAAACCCAAGGAGGGGTCGCTATGAGTTGGAATAGACTTGAGGCAGTGAGTTTGGTTTGGTTTTGGTTTATATTACATAGTATCCATTTCCTACTTCACTGATGGTATAAAAGTTATGTATGAGATTATCCATATCAGTATAAATTGTTTTATCTTCACTTGTTTCTTGTTTATTTAATGACAGTCATTTTATGAGAATAGTTATAATTATCTTGACAACTTAATTTGTCTTGTTTAGAGTTAATGGAATTACAGTAGAGTACAGATTGAGGAATTATTTTTAGCTTGAGAGGCTAAAACATTGAAACATAGTGATGTATAGTTGTTGTCCTTATATTATCTTTCTCTGTTTCTTTTCAGGTTGATATTTCTGGATTTCAGCTTTCTCCTCAAACTCAATACAGAACTGCCTTTGAAACAGTAATACTTCTTACAAAAGTAGGCTTTGTATTTTCTTATGTTTTATATCTGGTCTAATACGCAAATATGTAGGACTGTATGAAATAAGGCAGCTCTGGTGGCATAGTGCCTAAAGCATTTGACTGCTAACCAGAAGGCTGGTGGTTCAAACCCACCAGCCACTCCTTGGAAGGAAGATGGGGCAATCTACTTCCATAGTGATACCACCTCAGAAACTCAAGGAGGGATTGCTATGAGTCTGATCCAACTTGACGACAGTGAGTTAGAGTATATGAAATAACATATGATCATTAGAATAATTACATATCCCACCTCTGCTTTTTACAGATTTAATGGCAGTTGAAGAATTAATCTATAGTTGTTGTTTCCAGTTCATCCCCATCTCCTGTTCCTCAAACTACTACAATCTATAAAGCCCTCCTTAATTCGATATCCTTCCTAGATAGTCCTCAGGTTTTTCTTGCTTGAACTCTAAAGTAATGACTCTTTTTCTACTTGAAACATTCTCCATTCTTGGCTTCATGAGTCAGTCTGCTGGCTCTATTCCTACTTCTTAGGCTATTTTTCAGCTTACTTTTTAGCCTCTTATGGGAGGTCTGGTGGCATAGTGCTTAAGGCATTTGACTGCTAACCAGAAGGCTAGTGCTTCAAACCCAACAGCTACTCTTCGGAAGGAAGATTGGGCAATCTACTTCTATGGTGATACTGCCTCGGAAACCCAAGGAGGGGTTGCTTTTGATTCGGGTCTGACTTCATGGCAGTGAGTTTGGTTTATTTGTTCATACTTCAAAGATCATTGTCCAGAGATCTACCTTAAATCTCTTGTGTAATTTTACCCACTTCTATTACTGTTAAGGAGCCCTTGTGGCGCAGCACATTAGACTTGTTGTTGTTGTTGTTGTTGTTATGTGCCATCGAGTCAAACCTGACTCATAGCGACCCCTCCTTGGGTTTCTGAGGCAGTATCACTACGGAAGTAGGATTGCCCAACCTTCCTTCCGAGGAGTGGCTGGTGGGTTTGAACCGCCAGCCCTCTGGTTAGCAGGCAAGTGTCTTATCCACTATGCTACCAGAGCTCCCTTAGGTTAGCAAATTAGGTTAGGCTGTTAACGAAAAGGCTGGCTGTGTGCATATACCCAGATGTTCTGCAGGAGAGGACACCTGGTGATATGCTCCCATAAAGATCATAGCCTTGCAAACCCTGTGAGGCTGTTCTTCTCTCACATTGGGTCACTGTACATCAAAATTTGACTCAACCTCACCTAACAATAATAGTTGCTTCAGTTTCAGTTAATATATTGAAGACTAATTATAGATATTAGGAGCTCTGGTAGTGTAGTGCCTAAGGCACTTGACTGCTAACCAGAAGGCTCATGGTTCAAACCCACCAGCCACTCCTCGGAAGGAAAGTTGGGCAATCTACTACTGTAGTGATAACGCCTCGGAAACCCAAGCAGGGGTCACTATGAGTGGGGTCCGACTCGATGGCAAGTAACAACAACAATTATAGATATTAAATCTCTATCTAAAACCCAGATCTTTTGTTTGTGCTTTAGATTAGACATCTTTGATTGGACATCCTGTGACTACCTTAAACTTAATATGTATAAAACAGAACTCATTTTATTTCTCTCCCCAGTCTCCCCCAAAACATTATGGGGTGGTTGTCTTGATTCTGTCTTTCTTACTACTTAGATCAGGCCTTGTAGTTGTATATCCTAAGTATTCCTGAAATCCATCTACTTGTCTTAATGTACACTGTCACTCATCAACCCCTTTCACTAGACTGTTATAAGTTCCTTCTGTCTGACCTCTCTGCTCTTAGTCTCACTTCTCTCCAGGCCTTTTTTTTTTTTCCCATGTGGCACCCAGAGTGATCTTTGTAAAACAACTAAACTGATGTCATCTCCCTATTTAAAAAACTTCAGTGATCCTCCATTGCTCTTAGGTTAAAATTTAAACTGAATATACTTTATGAAGGAGCTCTGGTGGTGTAGTGCCTAAGGCATTTGATTGTTAACTAGAAGACTGGCGCTTCAAACCTACTAGCCACTCCTTGCAAGGAAGATTGGGCAACCTACTTCCATAGTGATACCACCTGGGAAACCCAAGGAGGAGGGGTCGCTATGAGTGGAATTGACTCGAAGGCGGTGAGTTTGGGTTTTTTTTTTTTTATATATACTTTATGAGCTTTGGCAAAGTTGATGACCTTTTTTTTTTTTTTCCTCATTACTCCCTGCTCCTCTACCCCATTGCATTCTACATTCTAGCCATGTCAGACTTATTTGATTTCTCTCTAATTCACCGTGATGCCTCTAACATCAAGAATTTGCAGGTCTTATTTCCTTTGCCAAGAGAACATTGTCCTTCCTATCTCTCATTTCTGGCTAACTCATACTTATTCCTTAGGTTTCAGTTTAGATTAGGATCCCCTCAGGAATTCTGCCCTCCTCTACTAATCTTAGGAGCTCTGGTAGTATAGGGATAAGGCACTTGACTGCTAACTGGAACATCAGCTGTTCAAACCCACCAGCTGCTCTGTGGAAGGAGGACCGGGCAATCTACGTCCGTACAAATTTACAGCCTCAGAAACCCAATGGGGGTCACTATGAGTCAGAAACGACTCAATGGCAGTGAGTAAAAGTACTGCTAATCTGAGTTAGGTTCCCTTTATGCTACTGCAACACGCATATGTCCCTGTCATAGAACTCATCAAATTCAATTGCAGTTGCCTTATTTCTTGCTTATTTTCTTTATGAGGTGAAGGACCATATAATAGTAAGTATTTTTAAACAATAATAATGGCTAACGTTTACTGAGTATTTATTATGTGCCACATCCTTAACATAAATTATGTTTTAATTTTCACAAAATTCTGTGAGGTAGGTACTACCCTTACCCACCCTCCAGCATCCTGCTTACAAAAGTTAATGTTAATTGCCCAAGTTCAGAAAGCTACTAAGTGGTAAATTCAGTTCAATCTCAGGCAGTTTGATTGTAGGGCTTAATACTGTTAAGCACCTGCATTAGGTATCTCACTGCCATCAGGTTGATTTTGACTTACAGTGACCCCCATTGGGTTTTTAAGGCTGTAAATCTTTGTAGAAGCAGACTTCTTCCTTCTGAGGAGCAGCTGGTAGGTTTGAGCCACCCACCTTTTGGTTAGCAGCCAAGAGCCTTAACCACTACAGAGCCAGAGCACCTTCTGTTAGTTATCTAGTGCTGCTGTTAGAAATACTACAAATGGATAATCAACAGAAATTTATTTTTTCATGGTTTGGGAGGCTAGAAATCTGAATTCATGGTGCTGTCTCTAAGGGAAGGCTTTCTCTGTGTTGGATCTGGAGGAAGGTCCTGGTCTCTTCTGAGCCTCTGATCATAGGTGATCCTCATGTGGCTTGTCATCTCTCTTCCCCATCTCTTCTTGTTACCTGCCTTGTTTAATCCCTTTTACAGTTCAAAAGAAATTAACTCAGGACACACTCTTCATTATTCCTTCCTCATTAACATAATAAAGACAGCCCCTTCCCAAATTGGGATTTAACCACAGGCATCTCACTGCCAATGAGTCCATCCCACTCATAGTGACCCCTCCTTGGGTTTCCAAGGCAGTATCACTATGGAAGTAGATTGCCCTATCATTCTTCTGAGGAGTGTCTGGTGGGTTTGAACCGCAAGCCTTCTGGTTAGCAGTCAAATGCCTTAGGCACTATACCACCATTTTGTTGTTGTTGTTGTTATGTGCCGTCGAGTGGGCCCCGACTCATAGCGACCCCTCCTTGGGTTTCCGAGGCAGTATCACTACGGAAGTAGGATTGCCCAACCTTCCTTCCAAGGAGTGGCTGGTGGGTTTGAACCACCAGCCTTCTGGTGAGCAGTCAAGTGCCTTAGGCACTATGCTACCAGAGCTCCTATACCACCATAGAGGTTAGGATTTACAATATATGTTTTTTGGGGCACAATTCAGTCTGTTGTTATGCCCAGTTCTTGAATCCCCAGAAACCACCAAGGAGCCAATTCCGCTGCAAAAGCATAGGGGTTGTTTATTCAAGCTTGAGCTCGGACCCTCAACGATCACCGACGCAGCGGTTTAGGATTGAGAGCCCTGAACTTAGGGAAAGGGGGTCTTTTACTGGGGATGGAGTAGGAACAGGGAAGTTTCAATCAGAAAATTACAGGATTGGTTGACATTTTTCAAGTTGTGAGTTGTTCCTGCTTGATTGGCTCTGTCCTGTGGGCCGAGGCCGCAAACTGCCATTTCTAGCTATTTTAGGTATTGGAATTTCAAGTATTTTCCTGCTATTTACTGATTGGTTGTTGCTAGGGGGTATCTATGGGGTGAGGGTAATCAGGACTTCAGGTTCTTCTCTACTATTTACTGATTGGTTGTTGCTAGGGGAAGTAAAGGAGGGGAGGGGGGTTAGGACTCTGTGTGGTTGAGCCCTGAGGCGTGGGGAACATGCTGGAGTTCTTGCACTAATGTCTTCTTGCTAAAAAAATGATTACCTGCTGGGCATTTGTACAAGCGTGTGGTCTCACATTCCTCCCTTTCTCTTGGCACTAAACTCAATCATGAGTTTGTTAACTGTTATTATATGTTGGGTTATAGTGTACTGTATTAATACCTGAATTGTCTTGATGGATTAGTTGGTACTGTTGCCTGAGGACCATGAGTTGTACAGAGTTTACTCTTTCTCTTATAAAGCCGACTAACTTATTTAGAATACAAGGACCAACCGTGAGTAAAATTAGTCCTATAATGACCGGTCCAGCGATAGCAGATAATAGAGACGTTAGCCAAGAAAAATTAAACCAGCTCTCATACCATCCCTGGTTTTGGGTACGTTCTCTTTTTCTTTTTTCTAGTCCTTCTCTTACTTTAGCCATGGAGTTTTTTATGATTCCCAAGTGGTCTATATAATAACAACATTCCTCCCCTAGAGCAGCACAAACTCCCCCTTGTTGTTGAAAGAGGATATCCATACCTCTTTTTAGTTGTAAAGTTAGTTCTGCTAAAG